AACTTGTAAACTAGACATACATTTAAAATCACAAAGCGCTTAGAATACTTCATTATAATTTGTCTATATGTTTATATGTGGTATACAATATTTATCAATATTCAAATAACAACAATTCCTTTAAGAAAAACAAAAAGCCTTTTTAATATAAAACGGAATTGGATTGTGCAGAGTAAGCTGTCAGCCAGGAGGTGATTGCGTCAGTGTTCACCTGTCAAGTGCACGCACGCAAGACAATGGAGACTGCAATATAGTTTATGAGGAGTGGCAGGGAATAAACTGTTTATTCAGACGACGGGATAAACTGAGACGTCACGACAAATTGGATAACAAGGAGAATCTGTTTAGAATAAAGAACTGTAGGAATATGTTGTTTATTAAAATAATATGCTCTTACCTTGTTAGTATAGTATATTTGTATTACGAAAATTTTAATACTGTCTGGATAATGCCAAAAAACATATTTTTTGCCTGATAAAATTAGTGTTCTAATAATTTTGCTTTTCTTTTGAATATTATCAATCTCGTAGTATTGTATACATTTTAAAGAAAGAACTTCTAGTTAGTCTTGTCCCCTATACACTGATTGCCATGGTAGATAGTTATGATAACAATTTTCAAATGAAACAATAACAGTTTCGATATAACAGTTTAATAACAGTTTTCAATGAATTCGTAAGTTACTTGTGCAATCCGTGGTTACCAATAATTCAAGATGCATTATGATAAATATTTATTGCAAACTATTTGTATCTTTGTAATCAATGTATTGTATCTTTGTTGGTGATTATAAAAATAAAATATGATGATCACACATGTTCAAAAGTTTTGCTAATACACAAAAATATATTTCAAATAAAGAATATTTCCATAATAATATGTTATAACACGAATCCATCCTCTATTTGTCACAATAACTCCTCTATTATTAAACATATAAAAATAGCTACACAATTATTTCTCCATTCTCCAATAGTAAGACGATGTTATTACTGTACGTTATCCTTATTTTCATCAAAATATATTGACATTGGACGCCTCCACAGCAGACATATTCTCAAGGGTTCCGATTTTTACGACGTTTGATCACAGTGATCATAAAGTCTACTCGAGTGTCAAGAATTTATAAGTGTCTCGAAAAAAGATAAACCTTTTTCTAAACACTGGGTTTAAGTCATGCAGAACTTGAGTCGAATCTTTTAAGCAAAATATAAGAAAATACACTCTCTGTGTCTCCTATTTCGGAATAAAAATTGTGAAAATATATATTTTTCTTTTGTATCGTAAATTGAAAGAATGTAGCTTGCCTCTCAAGTTTAATCTTTGTTATTTACATTTATGAGTCATAGTTTATTGTAAAAAACAATACACGCAGGCAGTGTTTTGACAGTATGTTGTCAATCTTGCACTTTTGACCCGCCCCGACTTCGCACGGGTGTAATATGCATGTACTATACATAATATTATAAACCCTCTTTAAGAATCTATTAAAAGAAACCTCATCAAAATCCGTTGCGTAGTTTTAAAGATCTAAGCATACATAGGGACAGACAGACGGCGGATAGCGACTTTGTTTTATAATATGTTGTGATATTAAATATCTTTAAAAACAAGTTTATTCGTGATTAATATATATTATACTCTGTGAAGCCTAAATGTGGAATAATTATAACAATGATCGATTATGAACATTATTATAATCAGCGTTTGTTATATAAATTATTCGAAATTTACGAAATACTGATAGACACTATCGCGCTTAGAAACATCATCGTAAAAGCATTATTTTACAAGGCTCTGGGATTGGATATACGGCACCTATCATAACAAATAATTGTTAAGCGAATAGATGAAACATTAATGGCAACATGACTCTCGCATTTTGCAAAGTTGTTTGTGAGAGCTGTCACTTTATCACAACGATTTATATCGCTTCAGTATTTCTTTTATTAGAATTATATTATTCATGAATTGTTTCTTAGCTTAGAAGTCTAGAAATGCTAAGCTTTCCATCAAAAGAAAACAATTTTTTAATGCATTGCTTGTAGAATTGCATGTAGAATTCTATATTATCTGATCATAAGAGTTGTGCAGACCTTACATTCCAAACTATAGTCGACCTCATTTTTTTTCATTGTTGTTCATTATAAATATTCTTCAATTTTCCTTGGACATATTTTATAGATACTTGTGTAAATTAATTCGTACACTTCCTAATTTCAGTCTCAGATACATATTAACTAGTTTCCGAGGCGACAGAGTATAACTTCAAAGTAATCGAGTAGGATTTAACACTTATTACATAAGTTTTGATACAATGTTATAATCGTATAGAGAGGATGTTGTCATGTGTTTTTACTGTTAATATAATATTGTAGGGTAAATTTTATCAGCAATTTAATTAATGTTAACAATGCAAAGGGGTTTGCTATAATCGTGTGGTTTAGCTTTCTGCTGTCCCTACCTGCCCTGAATGGCCCCCATTTAACTTATTTATGAATAAATTGAGAAAGTCAATAATTAACCGACCATACACCAATTATTGAAATCATCAAATAGTAAAAGATTGCTTGTTTTCACTGTCCTGCCAAAACGTGTTATGTTAAAGAAATAAAAGTATTTCGGATCAGTATATATCCTTTACCCAAAGTAACAAATCTTTAGTCAAAGTTCTCCATCGATCGCATAAGCCGTTTCCACGTGAATTCCTCACAAAGGACCAGGAACTTTCCTCTCCACAATATTGGCATCATTGAATGGGGTTCTTACTTACAACACAAACTTTTAGCCCAACAATAATACATGTCGGTTTCTGGCTCAAGAGACCGCATCCTACGTATTTCTATACGACTCGTATGTTCTCAGTAATTTGTACTCAAATCTCTAAAGTAAACTTTTTGCAGGAAAAATTAAGAGCTCGTTTACTTAAAAGGCTCATTAAATCAATTTAAAATTTAAATCAATTTGTTATATAAAACATTGGATTCCTCGTCGCTTATTATTTTAATTTCGGACTCGTTAATTATTTCCAGCGCTACGGTCGATACCATCAATTATTTGTTAATCGTCGTAGACACTGCTACGGCGGTGCTACGCTCGCTACAAACGCTACGCTTGCTACGGCTACGTATTACACAAAGTTCCGACCTCTTGCACATAATATTACCCACTCAAGCTTATAT